CAGGAGCTCAAGTGGTTAAAGCTGTTTGACATGTATGGGTGTGTTTCTCCATATAATGGGGCATTTCACAGAATATACAATTCCTGTTTGTAGTTAATTATATTTATAATGTTATTTTTATTAGATTGGGATCAGTCTTTGTATGTTCATTTTCATGTTGTCTTCATGATCATTAAAATAAAAGAACATTATCAAGCAAATTTGAAACAAAATTAGACACATTACAGATTAGACTGACACTCTTAGCATTTCTTTAGCAAGTCTTTCAGACATTAGTTTGCATATTTGCACCCCATGACCTACAAATCTGGGCAGCCAACTGAGACAAATGTTATAGTAAAATGTTCCTTAATCCATCTCACTGCTCCTGTTTAGGATTTTATTGTTGGTCAGCAGAATTCTCCCCCACATCTTTAATTTTTCAACTATTACTACTGACTATCACTAGTCTTATCCCTAGACATAAAACATATACGCGGAAACTAATCCTTGTGTCAGAATGTGTACATTTGCATATCTGATAGTATCCTGTAAAGTTGCATATAGTAAGCCATAGCAGTTTATTGTACTGTAAAGTGAGTGCATAGCACCATGGGCAATCTCTCCTCAATAGTCCAAAAATGTTCACCTCTAAATTATATTTTTTTTATACAGTACTAATCATCTATAGACTGGCTGTCTACCAAACTTACAACTGTAAAATTTCATGTGACTAATATCTATGGACATCTTGTTTTACTGAAGTGCATGATACTGGTCATAAACACTACTGGTAGATATTTAATATCTGAAGATGTAAAACCAGTTTTCACAGAGCCTATTGCAAACTCAAACAAGCTTTGAGTTTCTGGATGGTTTGTTTCCATTGCCCTAAAACATTTCACTCATACTCCCCACTCAACCACTTTTCTTTTGGAAGGTATGAAGAATCAAGGTGTTTTCCAAGGAATGTAAGGTAAATTACAAGTAGCCTTTACAGCTTAGTTAACACTAACTGGCTTAAGAATGCTAATTATATTCCAGTTTTGCTCTCTTTGGTGTATGCCTGCATGACTTTTACGTAAAAGCTACTTATACTGTAAGCTCTTGATCTAAGACCAGCTTTAAAAAGCATAGCTGATTTAGATTTAATACAATGAAATGTGTTCCCCAAGCCTGCAAATTCTGCTTTTCAGGTTATATAAAGATGTTTCCTATGCTGTAAGCATGTTTTCCCATTTACTTTTTCTTTTTTTGCTTGGTCCCTTATGCTTGTTCCAGCCTGAGGCTGCTGAGCTAAATCCATCCACTGATGAATAAGTGGGTATAAAGTCAGCATGCGGTAGATAAGGAAAAAAAAAGTATATGACTTTTAAAGACACCAGCACATAGTAGATCAATGTTTGTCAGCTGTGCCATTATTTAGCTCCCACTACCTTTCCCTAGTACCTGCGTGGTAAAAACTTAGGAGGCCCGACATTTTTCACTGCTTAGAATGGGGTCATCAGAAGCCTCATTGCACACTGAGTGGTGTGGGGACTCCTTATTCATGCAAGTTTCAAATAGAGGCAGGGTTATTACATCATGATGTAGTCACACTTTTATGCTATTTGGTCCAGATTCTGTGGAGGTACACCACTGACCAGGGCAATCGCACATTTCATGTTTGGAGTTACAAATTTTAGATAAATTGCCACAATAAAGATATTATTAAGGCTGCTTGTGTTCTAATAATTGAATTTCTTCCAGCTGCACCTAGTTTAATGCAGATATCACTAAGTGGTCAAGGTCATTCCCAAAAGTGGACAATCTATTTGTTCAGACAAGGACCCTCTAGAGTGAAATGAGAAGCATTCTTTGTGATGCCCAATCCTGCTGTTGGTTTTTAATAGCAGGTATTAGGAATCAGGAATGTGGTATCAGGAGTAACACTCCTTTTTCACACTTTCTCTTAATATCATTTGGGCAGGAAGTGGATGTGATGTTTGATGCTAACCCCCTTTGCTTATTATGGCAAAGAAAGAGTTCAGGGCATAGTGGAGGCCGTTCCTCACCTGTATCTACCTGTACTGTACCTACACAGTAAATAGATGTTTCTTCTTGGGAATTAATTGACAGTGGTGAGCCCAATAATTTTCCTTATGCAAAGACCTTTTGCTGACTATATTCACTGTGGAGTGCATTCACTATTCTATGCAGTTAATTAGAATTTCTTTGGTAGAGCCAGCAATAGGACATTTTCACAAGTCCAGTGGTTAGCAAAGCTACTGAGTTATAAAATCAACGGGCCTATTTAAATAGGGGAAAAACAAGATTTTATAGTTTATTGTCTTTATTTCTTAATACAATGTTTTCCAGTATTTTACTGCTTTACATTTCTGCATTCTTACTAATGCAGAATCCATAGTCTAATGTTTTCTATTTATTTATGAACTGATATTATGCATTTTTTTTTTTGCCAAGTTCCCCCTCTGAAATTTTGCCTTATTTGCACATCTTGACCAGTAGGGTGATTTTTTTTGTTTATTTTCCCAGTTTTTAATTCATTTTTCTTTTTCTCCCTTTTAGAAGTTTATTGCTCTTAGAAATTCTAAGTAAAACCAGTATTTATTATTATTATACAGGATTTATATAGCGCCAACTGTTTGCGCAGCGCTTTACAAAATGAAGGTAGACATTACAGTTACAATACAATTTGGTACAAAGAGGGCCCTGCTCGTTAAAGCTTACAATCTAGTATAAAAATCTGGCTTAATATAATGGCTGTTTTTTGGATAATTCTATAAATGTAATTGCCAATCTCTTGCCTGTGTGCTGTAGTGCAGCAACCAGAAACTATGTTTATACACATCATTTCATACTTGATCAAATTCTGACTGGGAGGAGATTTTTTTTGTGATTTTGTTTTATTCTTTTTTATTTCTCATTATTACCTGTTTAATACTCTTAGAAAGTCTTGATAAAACCAGTAGCAAAAAAATTAGAAAAGTAGTCAAACGCTTGACTGTTTTATGAATGAACCTAGAAATGTAATGGCTAGAGTCTTGCCCATGTGCTGTAGTGCAGAAAATAGAAACTAGGTTTACACATCCTTTCATACTTGTGCGTACAACATATCAATTTCTCAGTGCATACCATGACATGAGAGTCCTCTTTTTTTCTGTCTACATTACTTCCTTTGTTCATTTCCATCATGTCTGTCTTGAGTCTGTGTAGCACAAAGAGATCTTCAGAAGGACACAAAACCCAGATGGAAAAAGAGAGTGGAGGATAGAAGACGGCAAACACATTTAATTAAGTGTCACGCTTTTCTGAGTCTACACTTTTACTTTTTATGTACAGTAAATCTAAAAATATTACAGGACTCTTAAAACCAACAAAGTATACCCTCAATGCTGCCCTAGCTTTGCTTTGCTTGGCCTTTTTTTTTTTTTTCTTATGTTATGCTTGCTTCTTTCCCTTTTTGTTTTATTGCATCATTGAATGATTACTAACACAGGCTGGATGAAGAATTGAAAGAAAGTGAAGCAGTCAAGTAAGAAAATGTCTTCTGCCAATGTATATAAATGCTGTCCATTGAATGTATTTTTATGAAAACCAGTGCAAAGGAAATAGTGATGCTGCATGCTACAACCAATCAATTTTGTGCTTTTATTTTAATTCTGCATATGTCCTGCTGCACCTCCCAAACTGTGTTCAGACACTAAGGTTAGCTATCAAATATAAAGCTTCATTAAATTGATGAGAAATATATGTTTTATATGTATATCAGGCTTTTTTTCTCAAAGAATAGGTGCAGGAACTCCCCCCTCTAACTCAACCCTTGTCTTTGTCCCCTACACACCTCTGAGCACCGTGCCTTGGTTTCACTCCTACTCACCTCCCAGTATCACCCCTTTTAGACCACCCCCCCAACAATGGACCCCCACAATAAAATTGGACCCCCAATGGACCCCCAGCAACATTAGACCCCCTGCAGCAACTACAAATCTCCCAGCAGTCAGCATTAATAAACCCTCCAGCAGCCAGCAACAGAAGACCTCAACAGTAGATCCCTCTCAGCAACAATCGACCCCCAGCAACATAAGACCCCCCAGCAAGAATATATCCCCCCACCAGCAACAATATACCCCCATGCAAAAAAAGATCCCCTTCATTGGTAATAGATCCCCCAGCATCTAGCATCAATAGACTTTTCAGTACACTCCAGCTCCCCTGTCCATTACATACATTCAGTGCTGGAGGTGCCAGAACTGCGTTCCCCCCTAAGGTATTGAGCAAAATGATAGGGTGTAACCAGAATTTATTACACACAGTTGTGACATTGCTTAGTTTATTCCAGATACATGCTTTCATGTAAATTGTTCTATACCTTAGTGATAATTTGTTGGCCCCCAAAGATTAACTGAAGACTGTTTTAGATACACGACTTAGCAAATAAAAATGTACTTTGCAAACTTTTAGACAAGTTTTTTATTACAGTTTTGGAAAGAGTTAGGATTAGTTAGAATCATTATCAGGTGTTTTTTGCTTTCAATGTTCCCCACTAGGGGAATTTTCATTGCTTCCTGTTCCAGACAACCATGACAAATTGAGAGCAAAGTGAAGGGCTTCACCAGCACAGGGATGTTCATTGGAAGGGTTCCCCGTTATACTAATCTGATGAAAAGTCAAAAATTTTAAAATTTCCCTGCATAGAATGTGAGAGTGAGTCTATCCAGGAGGGGTACAGACAGCAACAAAATTCTGACTTACCTTTCCCCACTTTACCCAGAACTAGGAAAAGTTGTGTCAGAAGTTCTACTTTAAAAGCAGTGGGAAAAATGAATCTTTCCAGGTTTACAGAAGCTTTCCTTCTGATAGCTGATGGTGACAGTCTGGGGGGATTGCAGGGAAGGAAATAGGTATTTATTGTTTGTTTTTTAGAAGTAGCTGGCTGTTGGCATTTAACAGTAGAATAGCAAATGTAGGCAGGCAAGAGTCCATGGGACAATTTTCTAATTTAACCTTTCTGACCATGCCACCAACCTAAAAAAAATGCAGGTACCATAGTTTTCGCTCCACAAGATGCACCTGACCATAAGACGCACCTAGATTTTAGAGGAGGAAAACAGGAAAAAAATATTCTGAACCAATGGACTGCGGACATACTACAGGAGATGACCAGAGACTACAGACATAGTACAGGAGATGACCAGAGACTGCGGACACAGTACAGTAGATGACCAGAGACTGCAGACACAGTACAGTAGATGACCAGAGACTGCAGACATAGTACAGGAGATGACCAGAGACTGCAGACATAGTACAGGAGATGACCAGGAGACTGCAGACATAGTACAGGAGATGACCAGAGACTGCGGACATAGAACAGGAGATGACCAGAGACTGCGGACATACTACAGAAGATGACCAGAGACTGCGGACATAGTACAGATGACCAGAGACTGTGGACATAGTACAGGAGATGACCAGAGACTGCGGGCATACTACAGGAGATGACCAAAGACTGCGGGCATACTACAGGAGATGACCAGAGACTGCGGACATACTACAGGAGATGACCAGAGACTGCGGACATAGTACAGGAGATGACCAGAGACTGCGGACATAGTACAGGAGATGACCAGAGACTGCGGACATAGAACAGATGACCAGAGACTGTGGACATAGTACAGATGACCAGAGACTGCGGACATAGTACAGATGACTAGAGACTACAGATCTTTGGGGAGTGGAGGGGGGGGGGAGTGGGTACCCGAATTTGACAGGTTCCCTCTCCCACTTTCACGGAGTTGTCCTTCCCCCTCCCTCCCCGTAATCTTCTGGGACACGTGAATGTCCCAGAAGATTACAGGGCCATTCACAAAGTGCAGCGCTTCTCGTGCAGTGGGCACCTGGCTGTGAAGCCGCAAGCTGTCACAGCCGGGTGCCCATGCCAGCGCTGGGGAGAGAAGACTGAGGACACAGCTGGACCGAGGAACAGGTAGGACCTCAGGAGGTCTGCAAAGAAGAGCCGAGCGGCTGGTCCGGTATTCTAACACAGGGGGAATACCAGTCAGGCCGCTCCATAAGATGCACAGACATTTTCCCCCATTTTTTTGGGGGAAAAAAGTGTGCGTTGTATGGAGCGAAAATACAATAATTAATTTGTATAGTGAATTAGCTAGACAATTTGACTACTTCAAGAAGAGTCAATTCCTTAGCACCCCCTTCCCCCTCCATCCTTGCACATTGTAGCCCTTTCCTCTTCTGGAATTGGTGGTGCTGACCCAGCTTCTTCACCCCTCCCTGTACCTCCCTACATAACCTTTTATGTAGCCGCTGGAGAGAGGAATGGAGAAAAGAAAAATACTATAGAAAGTCACTGGAAGGACAGCTCTTGGTTTGCTAGGGTTGCTGATATCACATCCAAGATGGTGCCATGTAGCAGCAGTCTCATACCAAGGGAAGCTTTTACAGTTAAATGACGTGTAAAATATGTTTAATGCACATATAATCTTATGGGGAAATTGTTTTTAAAATTAATGGGGTAGCAACAGGGTCGCTTTAAAAAAGTTTGTAGCAGAGAAAGTTGAGCTGCAACCTGCAACCTGGTAAACATTTGTATGCTTCACATGGCAAAATAGTCTTGTCCCCACTAACTGGTTAATTTCAGTATTTGCAGTAGGACTACAAGCACTGGGTAGCATAAAGGCATAATCGCATAGAGTACTGTGCATTACTGTGCGTTGTGGTGCCCTTACATAACGACAGCGCATATGTGTGAAGCTAGCCTCACAAACATGAGAGTAGTTGAGACAAAAAATGGTTTATGGAGCAATAAACAAAAGACAGAGGTATAGCACTCATGCGACCAGTTGTACAACTATAGAAAGGGATAACCAGGGCTTTTTTTCTCAGAGAATAGGTGCAGGTACACCTCCCTATCCTGAGTCACCACTTGTCCCCACCCCTGACCTACCTGAGCACTGATCGTTGTCTCTGCCCCCTAGCCACCTCCTAGTACTGCTACAGAGCCAAGTATCACTTTGTAGTGTTAAGTAATGTGTGTGAAATTGGTTAATGATAATAGACCCTCCTAGCAACAATAGCTCCTTTCCAACAACAATAGACCTTCCCTCAGGAACAAAATACACTCCCAGCAACAATAGATCTGTCCCAGCAACAATACACCCCTGCTGGCAACAATAGATCCCCCAGCAGCCAAAATCAATAGATCCTCCCCCGCAACATTAGACCCCCCCAACAACCCCAGAGCAACAATAGATCCTCCCCATCAACAATAGACCCCCCAGTAGAATAGATCACCATCAATTATCATCAATAGACCCTCCAGCACACCCCAGCCCACTTTTGCCAGTTCATACATTCTGTTCTGGAGGTACCAGAACTGGGGATAACACAGTCTTTCATTGTCCATCAAAAGTTCACTCCAGTATACATTAGCTGTAGCACCTCACAGACTAAAGGGTATCTTAAGGACAAAGGGAACACGAGAGGGCACCAAACTAAGTGTAGCAATAGGAAACATTTATTAGATTTAAAAAGACAATTGGCAATTCACTCAGAAGTATGACAGTCAGTGCTTATCATAATTATAATAAAGCCTCCAGCTTCGGTGTGATTCAGGGATCTCTTTCACTGCCACCATGTATGACATAATTTCCTGTCTGGCCTTGCACTCAAAGCTGGTTTCAGCCACTTCTCAGGTTCTTTCCATTACCCAGCTAGTGACGGTGATAGAGAACTATTGCTTGGAATAACAGACCCTAGGGCACATTTGAGCTGACGGCATGATGATATTCATGATAAGCGCTGACTATCATCCTTTTGAGTGAGTTGTCAATTGTATTTTTTATGTAATAAATGTTTCCTATTGCTACACTTAGTTTGGCACCCTCTTGTGTTCTGTTTATGAGTAGTTGAGAATCTGTCCAACTAGTAATCTGTTCAATCCAGATTAAACCTCAATTTATGTGAACTGACTTGCTCATCACTATTCGCCAATAATACTGAAATATTTTTATGCTTTATGTTTTGTTTTTCAAAAAGCCTGTGTATTTAGAAATATAAACTGAAAAAGGTAAAAAAATAACCTTATTTACATCTGCATGAAGGAGAGAGTTTTTTGCTTTCATTGTGGCTGTCGGTGCCAATAACTAACTGCATTGCCATCATTAGTAATTCATCTGGCAAATGTTACCCTTTAACACATGCAGCAACACTCCCTGTCTAGCTGATGACTAGTGCTCTGGCTATACTATAGTGGTAAATCCTCCACCCTGTTTCCAAGTGTTCCAAGTCATTTAACTGTCAATGCGATGCGCAGCCATTTTCCAGACATTGTACTCCTGCTGTGTATTATATGATATTTTCCAGTATGACTTCATATGTGTGCTAAAGTGTCGCTCCTTTTAATCTTTGCCTGTGCATTTATTCTGTTTTAAACATATAACTTCAGCATGGTGATAACTACTAACTGTATGAAAAATACCTAACAGCAAAAATCAGAGCTAACGGTGTTAAAATTGTGGTGAATTACTTAATTTGATTTTCTCTATAGGAGACTACAGTATAAACATGTACATAAAAAAGTATTCCAAACCTCATTTAATTTGTCAGGAGAATAATAAGGAAACTGCCATTGCTTACTTGCTGTTGAAGGTGCATGTTCCAGGGCTGTCATTTGTAATCTGGCAGTTTAGCATGTCTGCCACTTGCAACAAAGGTTATTTATATATTTTGAATATATCTATTACTGTGCAAACGTTTTAGGCAGGTGTGAAAAAATGCTGTAAATTAAGAATGCTTTCAGAAATAGAAATGTTCATAGTTTATTTTTATCAATTAACAAAATGGAAAGTAAATGAAGTGAAGAGAAATCCAAATCAAATCAATATTTTCTGTGACCAACCTTTGCCTTCAAAACAGCATCAATACTTCTAGATACACTTGCACACAGTTTTTGAAGGAACTCATTAGGCAGGTTCTAAACATCTTGGAGAACACAGATCTTCTGCCTCAAATCCTTCTGTCTCTTCATGCAATTCCAGACAGACTCCATGAGGTCAAAATCAGGGCTCTTTGGGGGCAAAACCATCACTTTCAGGACTCCTTGTTTTTTATGCTGATGGTAGTCCTTGCTGACATTGGCTGTATGTTTGGGTTGTTGTCCTGCTGCAGAATGAATTGGCCAATCAAACGCCTCCCTGATGGTATGTCATGAGGGGTAAGTATCTATTTGTATTTCTCAGCATTGAGCAAACCATTGATCCTTACCAAATCGTCAACTCCATTTGCAGAAATGCAGTCCCAAACTTGCAAGGAACCTCCATCATGCTTCACTGTTGCCTGTAGACACTCATTATTGTACCACACTCCAACCCTTCGGCGAACAAACATCTTCCTGATATCACCAAATATTTGAAATTTCAATTATTCCAGAGCACCTGCTGACAATTTTCTACACCCCAGTTTCTATGTTTTTGTGCATAGTTGTGTCCCTTAGCCTTGTTTCCAAATTGGAGGTATGGCTTTTTGGCCACAATTCTTTCACAAAGACCACTTCTAGGTAGACTTCTCCAGATAGTAGATGGTTGTACCTGGGTCCCACTGGTTTTCTGCCAGTTCTGTGCTGATGGACAGAAGTAAGCATGATGTGTCTTTCATTTGCTTCATTAAGTTTCTTTGGCCGACCACTGTGTCTACAGTCCACAGCGCTGCTGTTTATTTGTGCTTTTTCATGAGCTTGAACAGCACCTGTTAAAACCCAGTCTGTTTGGAAATCTTTGCCTGGGAGAGACCTTGCTGATGCAGTATAACTACCTTGTTGTGCTCAGTTTTCTACAGCCTCACCTTAGTAGCAAAGTTTGGCTGTTCCTCACCCAGTACTGAGTTGTAAGCCTCCTACAGAGCTGTTTCTGTTTCAGTTAATGACTGTGATTCAACTTATATATGAAATTGATGATCTTTGCCACCTGCTTGGTATAAGTGGTTAATCATTCACCTGACTCTAATCCTACAAAATCCCTGACTTTGTGCAAGTGTAAGAAGTGATGCTGGTTTGAAGCTAAAGGGTAGTCACACCAAATATTGATTTGATTTAGATTTTTTTTTTCTACACTTTGCATTTTTGTAAATTGATATAAATAAACAATTAAAATATATATTGATGAAAGCATTCTTCCTTTATAGCACATATGTATAATTTCCTAATTGTTACATCAATGCAGGCTTATAATAAAAATGTGGTTAGAAAGAGGAATATGGGGAAACCTGTGGACCCATGAAATGTTGTTGTCACAGGTCTAAATCTATGTGATCTTCCCATAAATCCAGTC